CGCGGGGTGGGGTGGGGTGGTCTGTTCTAACCTTACTGTTCAGAACGTGTCCCACAAAGGACTCCGGCTGCACTCAGAAGGAGGCGGCTGCTGTTGTTATTGTTTTCACATGGGTTCTATTTCCAAATTCCTGAGGGCACAGAGGAGGGGGTGGGGACATCTTGTGGCTACCCTTTCCCCGAAGGCCGACTGGGGAGCAGCCAGACACCAGGCCTGGCCCTGGTCACATTCCAGACAGGCATCTACAAGCCAGCACCAGGATGAAAAGGAACACGATTCCGATTCCATCATTAAGACGCCAGACCGAACATCAGCGGGACACTCTTCGGTTTTTTCCACGGACATGACTTCCCAAACCCAACTGTCCCGGAAAGAGGTTTTGCACGTAGCCTCTCGGCTGCCTCCCTCCTGATGGCCCCTGCTTGCCCTGAAGATGGGAGGGGAGGGGCGACGGCAGAAGCGACACAGGGCAGGGGGGATTTCTGAGGGGCTCAGGATGGGTGGGGTTGTAGAGGTAAAGACGGAGACATGGAAGGGCGCTGGAATCTGGCGATATTACAAGTCAGAGCCCACTGAGCTCCACGAGTTGCCGAGAGCTGCCAATTGGCCACCGGTACTGGAAGGGGCTTGCATACTGCTGACTGCCCTTGCCTTGCCTGCAGTTCTCCCAAAGCAGCCCTGGGGGCACAGTGAACAAGGCAGGCATTCTGCTCCGTCACCCGCACAGCTTTTGCAGGGTCAGTGGTTCGAACCGACTACACTGCTCGGTGGGAGCAAGATGAGGCTGTCTGCTCCCATAAAGAGTTCCAGGCTTGGAAGCTCAAAGGGGGCAATTCTACTCTGTCTCACAGCATCGGGATCTGCTTGATGGCAGTGGGTCTTTGGGGTTTGGCTTTGCTTGGGGTTTGGCAGGGGTCCGGCCTACGAGGGACACACTTCTCCTGACACCTGTGACTTGATGCACGGATGTCAGGTCAGTTCTGACGCCTGGTGACCCTGCAGAAGACAGTGGAGCTTCCTCTGGGTGTCTGAGGCTGTGAGCTTTTACGGCAGCGGTTCTCAACCAGTGGGTCTCGACCCCTTTGGGGGGGTCAAACGACCCTTTCACTGAGGTCGCCCGATTTATCATAGTAGCAAAATGACAGTGAAGGAGTAGCAATGAAAGTAATTTTATGGCTGGCGGGTCACCATAACATCAGGAACTGTATCAAAGGGTTGCAACATTAGGAAGGTTGAGAACCACTGCTTTATAGAGTAGAACATCTCATCTTTCTCCCAGGGAGCGGCTGACGGTTTCGAACCACCAACCACGCATGAGAAAAATCAGCCACTGAAAACTCCATAGAGCACAGTTCTACTCCGACACCCTCAGGGTCGCCAGGGTAATACTGACTCAACAGGACAGGGGCTCTAATCCAGGAATCGAACTCACAGCCTCAGTGGATTCCAAATCAGACCGACCCTGCAGGGCGTTCTAGAACTGCTTCCAGCAGACGCAAGCTTCGCAACAGCATGAGGCTCGGAGCGGCTGGCAGTTCTGAACTGCTTACCTTGTTATTCCCAGCCCACCAGGGCTCCTTCCACATAACTTAGCCCTGCTCCTAACAGCTGGCTGTTGTCAATGTTCTCTCACGCATGCATGAGCCTCTGATAAACATGCTGTGCTCAGCCTCCCTCTTTCCTCCCAGCCCCCTAAGCATGTTCCCAGCATGTCCACAGGGTGGACTGTTTAGGTGGGAAAAAAAAGATCATTGTGTGGGCTCCTTGGTCCCCAGGCTCAAGCTGCCTGAAGGCAGAGGAGGTTAGCGTATTCCAGGGGCCGTGGGAGGGGCCTGCCGACACCCCTTAGTGCAGCCTCGCCCTCGGCATTTCAGGGTACCCGGGACGCACCCAGCCCTGTCTCAGCTGGCAGGGTCTCAGGGTGAGGAACCCTGAGTGGCTGGGAGGGTAGGCTCCCCGCCCGGCTGTCCCCACTCACCCTCGGCAGATATCTCCAGGCGGGGGGTGGGTGGGGTGTACACGCAGCGTGGGACCTGACGTTCCTGGGGCGTCTCGCAGCATGGGGGAGAGGCCAAGACAGCACTCGCCACCAAGGCAAAATGCCAGTGGGAGCCAGAAACCTCCATCATTGCAGTGCAGAACGTTCCAGTGCGATTGTTTTTAAAAACAAAAATTCGTGGAGAGCCCAGGATGAGCGAGACCCAGGACATCAGGTATCCGACATCAAAGACCCAGAACAAGAAAATCATATCGATGTGAATGAGGGGAGGGCGGTGTGGACACCCAAAGCCCATCTGAAGGCAACTGGACATCCCCTTACAGAAGGGTCGCAGAGAGGAGATGAGCCAGTCAGGGTGCAGTGTAGCACCGATGAAACATACAACTTCCCTCTAGTTCTTTAATGCTTCCTCTTCCCCACTATCAGGACCCCAATTCTACCTTACGAATCCGGCTAGACCAGAGCATGTACACGGCTACAGAAAAGAGCTAGAAATACAGGGAATCCAGGACAGAAAAACCCCTCAGGACCAATAATGAGAGTAACAATACCAGGAGGGGAAGGGGAAGGTGGGGGGAGAAAGGGGGAACTGATCACAAGGATCTACATATAACCCCCTCCCTGGGGGACAGAAAGCAGAAAAGTGGATGAAGGGAGACATTGGTCAGTGTAAGACATGAAAAAATAATTTATAAATTATCAAGGGCTCATAAGGGAGGGAGGGTGGGGGAGAGAAGGGAAAAAATGAGCTGATACCAAGGGCTCAAGTAGAAAGAAAATGTTTTGAAAATGATGATGGCAACACATGTTCAAATGTGCCTGACACAATGGATGGATGAATGGATTGTGATAAGAGCTATATGAGCCCCTAATAAAATGCTTTTTAAAAAAGTTTGAAAGGAAAACAGAATCAACAGGTTTTGCCAGGGTGGGGTGGGGAGGTAGCTTATTAATGTTCTGTGGATTAAGACGGAGCAACAACCTACAAATCCCCCAAGACAGCTAAACCGGGCTTTTTACAGGCTGGGGTGCAGAGGCCACAGCCCGAAGTCTCTAGAAATGGACAACCTCTGAGGTCTGGGGCACCTGGCCACCATAGTGTGCTCTGGACACCCACTGTGCATGCCCTGACCCTCTGGGGAGCCAGCTAGGTGGGCAAAGGGAGTTTTAAGTTAAGGAAAACCCAGCCCAGGGATTTTCCCCTCCTGCCACAACAAGGCTGAGCAGGACCCGGAGTGAGTTCAGATTCTCCATGACTCACACTTTCCCATTTCCATCTCGGTGCAACTGAACCCTAGGACTAGGTGCGAGCGCGGGTGGGGGGGCATTCCACAGAGAGGCAGTTGGGGGGGGGCAGTGCCCACCTGCTGGCCTGGCACCAGCCGCATTCTCTGGGATGGCTGCTGCTCCCTGCGCTTTGGCAAACTTCTAACTCACCCCCCACCCACTCACCCCCATCCCAGCACGCCTTTAATTTCCTTCTGTGGATGAAAAACCAAATGCACCAAAGCCCCCTCACGGAGCTGGAAGAATAAACACCTCAGGATCCCCGTTTTTTAACCTGCGAAGACTCAGAGTTTGCCAGAGAAAGAGAGAGAGAGAGGTGTGAGCTCCCAGAATGGGGTGTTTGGGCCAAGGCCCATCACCTCCTCCGGCAGCCTCTCTGCCCAGAGTGGGTTCCTGAGCCCAGCAAGCATCTACTTGCTCTGCCAGACGCTTTTGGTGGATAGAGGGGTGGGGGTGGGGGGTGGGGGGAATTCCTGCCTTGGAGACAAAGGATCCATTATCCGACTTGCACAGTGCTCCCCAGGTATGGGGGAGGGGCTGCCACCCTACACCCTTCCTTCTCATCTTTTTTTTGCCAAGAAGAGGCTATCTCTTCAGGGACCTGGACCTCGCTCACTTCCTGCAAAGCACAAAGGAGAGATTCCACTCCTTGGCAGGCTCCTGGGTGGCTTGCTTCAAGTGCCAGCAGGCGCTGGGGAGCACAGGTCTCCTCTGGCGGGTCAGAAAAGTGCCAGCCTAGTGGGGGTGTCCCTGGGGAGTTGGTGCAAAAGGCTTAGGAGCTGGGCTGCTACCTGTGAGTTTGGATATTTGAGTCCACAAGGAGGCGCCACAGATGGAATTCTTGGTGATGGCTGGGGCGGGGATTGCAATCGGGTAACACTCAGAGGTACCGTTAGGTAGCTAGAGACAGGGACCAGGGCTGTCCCTCACCATGCCTGGAGGCCCCCATACAGAACGTTGGAAGAGAATCAGGGGAGACTCAGCCACCCAATAAAAGCTAAGGGGCATGCACCCACTCAAGCCCAAACTACGCCAGGTGGGCTTAATTCAGCCAATGGGGTCAACCAATACCTTTGACCACACCTCTTAGCCGAAGGCCCCATAGACAGGGACCTTAAGACCATCAGCCCTTGGGTTGCTTCTCCCCCTTGCGCTGGGCCAAACTGTGGTCTCTTTAGCCTCAGGCCACCACGTGTATGGGTGCCGTACTGCACGCTGCCCATGTTCAGTGACTGTAAAACCTGAAACTTCTTCCGTCCTTTTACACAAACCTACTTGGATCACCAACCAGGCTTCGGCATGAATTCTTTCTCGTGCGAGGCCAAGAACCAAGGTGTTTCCCACCCAAGAAACCTAACCATCCCTCAGAAGAAAGGCCTGGGCACCTTCTTCGTCAGAACGAGCCCCCGAGACCCTGGAGCACAGCTCTAGCTGACCCGCACGGGGCCAGGGTCGGGAGAGACTCCCCGGCAACTGCTTCACCAGCCTGGACACTTAGGTTGTCCGGCCAAGTTCGGAACGGACTGAGCCCCGAGCCAGCTGGGGCAAGCCTGGTCCCTCCACAGTCCTCCTCGGTGCCTCTGGGAGTCCCACCCACCTTGCGTTTGCTCTATTACTACTATTACTTAGTCATTTTAATCCTTCTTATTTTTTACAGACCAGGATGGAATGAACCCATATCCGCGTGCAGGAATGGAGTGGCGAGGAAACTTACCCAGAGACCTTTCTTTCGTCTGGTTGGTCGACCTCACCACTGGGAGGCTGGCTCGTGTCCGGCTGCCCCGGGAAAAGGGGCTCGGAGACTCCCCCTCGGACATGGCTTCCAAGGAGTCGCCGGACGCCTCTGACAAATGCTCGATGGGGTCGCCCAGGCTAGGAGGCTGGGGGCTGTGCGACGGCTTGGGGCTTCTCGTCTGCAGAAGGCATGTGGAGGAAGCAAAGGGAGAGGCCGTTACTGGTTTGACTGGGGTGATTTGGAACACCATCAAGATCAACCTGTCTGCAAAAGACAGACCCCAAACAAACAATCATGCTGATGCCAAGGAGGGGAAGTGGGCGCAGAGTGGAGACCCAAAGCCCATCTGTAGACAACTGGACATCCCCTTACACAAGGAAGAGACGAGCCATCAGGGTGCATTATAACACTGATGAAACTTACAACTTCCCTCTAGTTCTTTAGAGCTTCTCTCCCCACACCCCACCATCATGATCCCAGTTCTCCCTTACACATCCGGCTAGACCAGGGCATGCACACGGGCACAGATCAGAGCTGGAAACAGGGAATCCAGGACAGATCAACCCCTCAGGACCAATAATGAGAGTAGCGATACCAGGAGGGGAAGGGGAAGGTGGCAGGGGAGGCGGGGTGGGAGGAGAGGGGAAACCGATCACAATGATCTACATACATATAACCCCCTCCCTGGTGGATGGACAACAGAAAAGTGGGTGAAGGGAGACAGCAGATGATGTAAGATATTAAAATAATAAGTTATAACTTATCAAGGGTTCATGAGGGAGGGTGTGGGAGGGAGGGGGGAAAAAGAGGAGCTGATACCAAGGGCTCAGGTAGAAAGAAAATGTTTTGAAAATAATGATGGCAACATACGTACAAATGTGCTTGACACAATGGATGGACGGATGGGTTGTGATAAGAGCTATATAAGCCCCCAATTAAATGACTTAGTGACTGAGAGAGCGAGTGAGACAAGGAGACAAAGGCCCTTGGACGGGCTGGGTGTAGAAAACGAACGGGCTCGGTGGGTGAAGCACATCTGTGAACGTGTCTGGACACACCGCACAGTCCTTTGTTATTCTACCAAGACCCCGACACGGCCCATCTCCCCACCTCACGTACTTCGTTATTCTACTGACCCCGACACGGCCCACCTCCCGCACAGAGGCCGTGCCTGATGGAAAGCGGAGCAGGAGGGGCCACGCTGCCAGAAAGAAGAGCGGCAGCCCATGGCTATCACCAGGATTGTTACCACCCGCAGCCCCGATGGGACGGGGCACAGTCATACCCACCCTGCATGCAGGACACCCTCGCCCTGGGGTCCCACTGCACACACTGGACCTTCTACATCAGGTATCATGGTCGTTTCCAGAATCATTAATGTGCCAGTCTGGGTGGACTAGAGAAACAGATTCATAGACCTCATAAGTGTATAAGAAAGAGCTTGACATGTATGTGTGTACAGGGGTGGGGTCTAGCCTGTCACAAGCTGATGGTACCTCCTTTGGGCATGGCCTTCTCAAAGATGAGCCTGGTAACCCCTCTCTCACTCCCTCTGCCTTCACCTTCCTGCTGACTGGCCCTGGCTGCCGTGAGCCCTGTGATGCGTGCACCGCCATTAGATCCACAGGGCTCTGCACCCACGAGCCTGTGGTCTTCCTGCGTTCTGCATCACAGCGTGCAGCCCTGTGAGTCTGAAGGGGGCTTATGGACGAGTGTCGGACTTAGGGGCATGACCTGGATGGGGCTGGGATGTTTGTCTGATGGACAATTACTTCTTGATCTAAAGCTCTTTCTTACACATACATGAGTGTCACTGGATTTGTTTCTCTAGCCAAGCCGGCCTCCCACAGTCATCTGCTCCTTTTAGGGCACAGAAGCAGCAGGATGGGGCCCCCGGTTTCGCCCCATGCTGTTCTGGATTGGGATCATCTTGCAGTGACAACCCTTTAGCCATACGTCTAAGGCGTTTCATGAGACCCGGGAGCTAGTCGAGCGATTCTTGAACCCAAGAGAAGTAGGTGCCAGAAGGTGAAAGGGAAGGAGTCCCAGGGAGACCTGCAGCTTGCAGCCTCCCTCCTGAGAAGGGGTGCTGGGGACAGTTCAAGTGTGTGGACAGCAGGCGCGCGCACACGCACGCACACGCACACGCACACGCACACACACGCGCACACACACGCACACACACACGCACACACACGCGCACACACACGCACACACGCAGACTATTCAGCAGTCTCAAGGGCAGAGTGTCTTAACTTGTGTGGTCTTCTCGAGCTCCATGTGGCTTGGATCTGAGGGAGAAAGTGTCACCTGGGTGGCTGGTGTCAGAGCTGATTACAAATGGGAAAAGCGGGGATTGGATTCACAGCCCCGTTAGTGGCTCTTTATCCACGAAACTATGTTCCAGGTACCAAGACTAAGTCCTGGGGACAAAAGTACCGCCAAAATAATGCACATGAACCTCTACCGCCGAAATAATGCACACGAACCCCTACCCCGAAATAATGCACACGAACCCCTACCCCGAAATAATGCACATGAACCCCTACCCCCAAATAATGCACACGAACCCCTACCCCCAAATAATGCACACGGACCCCTACCCCGAAATAATGCACACGAACCCCTACCCCCAAATAATGCACACGAACCCTTACCCCTGAAATAATGCACACAAACCCCTCCCCAGAAATAATGCACATGAACCCCTACCCCTGAAATAATGCACACAAACCCCTACCCTCAGAAGTCTTTTCATCAAGTGGAAGAGACCGACGTTACAGAACATTTAGAGAGAGAGTTCGAAGTACAGTGAGGGTGTGTAAACCAGACTGGAGGGAGAGCAATGGCCAGGCAGTCAGAGAAGCAGGTGAACCAGATCCCAAAAGAGAACAGAGTTGGGGGCTGGATAACTGGAGATCAGAGGAGGAGAGAGGGAGAGGGCGAGAGAGAGGGCGAGGGCGAGGGGGAGAGAGAGAGCGAGAGAGCGAGAGATTGATTCCAGGAGTTTGAGAGAGGCAGGATGGGAAAGTCCCTGGGGAAGAAAGAAGTGACATAGGAGGAAGATTGGTACAACTAGGTGAGAGCGAGAGAGAGAGCGAGAGCGAGAGCGAGAGCGAGAGCGAGAGAGAGAGAGAGAGAGAGAGAGAGAGAGATCACTGGAGGCAGGTAGAGACCAACAGCAACCTTGGAGTAAGTCTGCTCTGGCTCGAGTAGCACTGCCCCGCAGGGCTTCCTCGGCTGGCATCTTTACCAGAAGCCCATCACCAGGACTTTTCTCCGGGGTGCCGAGGGAGGTCTGATCACCACAGGCAGCCAAGTGCTGAATCATCGTACCTCCGGGACTCCTCGGAACCATGGTCCAACTAAACCAAACGTCGGCATGGAGTCCAGGCTGATGGCAGGGAGCGGAGCCCCTGTGGGTTTCTGAGACCGTAACTATTAAGAGTAGAAAGCCCAGTTTCCCCCCCACCCTTAGGGCAGCTGGGGGATTCTAACTGCCGACCCCGTGGCTCTCAGCCCGGCCTGTGACCACTACACCACCGGGAGCACTCCCACGGGAACCACGGTAAGAACTCTTAACTGGACGCGCAGGGCATGGGGGGAGGTCTCTGGTTGCTTTCGGCAGGGGGGAGATGTCAGGATGGCACACATGCTGAAGGTCACTCAGGCTGCGGGGCGGACGCTGGGGGCTCGAGGAGGGGCTTCAGAAAGTTTGGGGACAGACAGGAAGGAACAATAATGGGCTGGGGAAGGCCGGAGGAAGAACTCAGCCTAAGAGATCGCTCGTCAGCTTTCCCAGCTCCCCCCCTCGCCCCGACTCGCACGGCATGGTGCCTGGCACCTTCTGGTGGGTGGGTGGGTGAAGGAATCAGCTATGCCCTCCCCCCCCTTAATTAAAAGGTCATGTTATTGGGGGCTCTTACAGCTCCTAACGCAAGCCACACATCAATTGCATCCAGCATATTTGTACATATGTTGCCATCGTCCTTTTCAAAACTTTTTCTTTCTACTTGAGCCCTTGGTATCAGCTCCTCTTTGTTCCCTCCCTCCTCTCCCACCACCCTCATGACCCCTTGATAAATTATTATTATTTTTATATCTTACACCAACTATTGTCTCCCTTCCCCCACAGTTTCTGTTGTTCATCCCCCTGGGGTGGGGTTATGTGTGGATCATTATGATTGGTTCCCTCTTCCTCCCCACCTCTCCCCACCTTCCCGCTCCCCTCCTGGGATGACCATTCCCATTCCTGTTCCTGGATTCCATGTGTTGTCGCTCTTATCTGTACCTGTGCACAAGCTCCGGTCTAGTCTGCAGTGAAAGGCAGGACTGGGGTCATGATAGTGGGGGGTGAGGAAGCCTCAAGGACCCGGAGGAATGTGTTTCATCAGTGCTATACTGCGCCCTGGTTGACTCATGCCTTCCTGTGACCCCTCTGCGGGGGGATGTCCCATTGTCTACAGATAGGCTTTGGGTCTCTACTCCAACCCCCTCTTGTCCTAAACGATATGGGTTTCTTTCACTCGGAGAGGGATCCCCCTATCTAGCAGACTCCTCATGGAAGAGCATGACTGGAAAGCAGCCTGGCCACATGCACCCTGTCTCCTGCCGGGTCAGCGCCGGGGCCTCCAGCAGACACGGCGCAGCTGACCAGCTGCCATTTTCGTAAGCGAGAGGCAGCACTCCCCGAGGGAAGAAGAATGAAAAGCCTTCGGCCTTGAGCAGGGTCCCGGTCAGTAGGTGTGCTAGTGACATCATCTCCTGTCCACTTGAGGGTACTGAGACCGAAGGGATGGAATCTACCCTGTCAATCAACTTGCAGCGTGATGACCTCATCTGGAGGCACGATGGAGATAAATAGCTCACTGGAGGCTGGACCCACTCTCTGCCTTCCCTTTCCTGCTATTGAGACACTCAGAGGAGCCATGTGGAGATGCGTCCACTGCCACTGGATCCACAAGACGCTCCACCCACCAGCCTGTGATCCTCCTGCCTTCGGCATCATTGCATGTGCTGCGTGAGGCTGAAGAGGAATTTATGGTCCAGTATGGGACATATGGGCTAGTATCGGACTTATGGACTTGATCTGGACTTTGCTGGGGTGTTTTCTCAATGTTCAATTGCTCTTTGGTATAAAGTTCTCTTTTACACACGAGTGTCTTTGGATTTGTTTCT